TATGAGGATCCCGATGAGCGGCGAAAACAATGACTACGAAAGTAACGATTCAGGCTTCCGACGGTGGAGGTAACCAATACTACTAAGGAAGTGACATTGCGAGTCACCAAGTACGAAGAGTCTGCACAGTAATGTTGTCACGTTGCCAGCCTCAGGTGGATCATGGATCAAGTGATCACGGCTACCCTTGGCTGATCGGACGCATCACAGGTGTTGAACGAAGAGACGATCACTTGGCAGTGGTAAAGAAAAGGGCAGGCAATAACGCGAGAAACAGGCGGGACTGACGGCGCTGGATGTCTCCTTCTATGTACACTCATGCGGCGGGAGACATTGGGAGCGCATTGCGGGAGCTGTCGCGATGTACAACGACGACGAGGGCGGGGAGGACAGAGGGACAAGAGAGCCGAGGGCGCCGTGCTCTTACAGGAGGACCAGCCGCGCGCCAGCGGCGAACATCGAGCCGGTATTCCCTGATCAGGGGACCTAGTAAACAGAGAATGTTCAGACGGCGCATGCGCAGGAACGTGGCAGAGAAAACGCCCGCGGACACGAAACTAGGAGCTCCCATTGCGGCCAATGACCTGGGTGATGGTGCCGGACGTATTCCCGGACTGGCTGGGGATGCGCCCAATTCAACATTCACCGGTGACCGGTCATGCTGAGCACAAGGAAGCACTGGACTACGAGGATCAGGACTAATGCAGACCACACGTACCACAGTACGGTAACGGCAACCGACCCATCAGGCATGCCGGGAGATACGGGTATTTTCGGTGGTGACCCTCATGGTGACCGCGTGAACGAGGCTCCGATGTTCACCGCTGCCGGTCTGCCTCGATAGACGCGCTGAGGGCGACGCTGTGCTTGCAAGGTCGATGCTTCAGCGGTTGGAATACCATAGTCAACGATGAGGACGGACGCGGCAGACAATGCTAACGATATGAAAGTGGGTCGTGTCGGCGTGATGCCAGCGGGTTGAAATCCCCCCTGACACCGATAAAATGCGCCACTATGTCTTCAAGGCGGACCACAACCAAACAATACGAGTCCCAGGAGAGTCCCAGGAGAATCGGATAGCAACAACGTTTATGAGTGACCTTGAGAGTCACGGACTAAAGGGGCAAAACAGACGAGCATGCTGGTGACGGTTCAAAAGTCTCCAACGTGGAGAGGGGGTGAGGCGATCGAACTATCGACATTCAGCCCGCGGGTTGTTGACTCCCCGGAGGTGACGGCAACCTTTGAAAATGAACCGGGACACCATAGCTGCGAGCAGGTCTCTTGGCAGTTAAGGTACCGGGGCGCGGTTTAAGGGTAATGCTGTGAATAATCAGCCAGACAGAAGGCACGAAGCTGTTGCCGATGACTGTTGAAATGTCGAAGACGCTACGTCGGCACGTATACACCGGTTGCTGCGGACGTTGCGCAAAGACCTGATTGTAAAGACAAGGTACACTGACGGCAGTCCTAAGACCCCAGCGGTGCTAAAGACTCTGCAATGGGAGAGCAGCGGCGAACAATGCGTTCTAGGGACACGCGTAACAAAGCGCCTGTGTTCCCCGATGCGGACGCTGGAAATGGAGGTGTGAGCAGCAAGATGGAAGCTGACTGTCAGATGAGGTTACATTGCCATGCCACAGAGATAACGTCGGCAGATGCCAACGATGATTTAGCTGATCACAAAACCGCTGGGAATTTCATCATAATGGGCGATACTGGAGTGCCCAGGCGATGAGGGTACCGACCTATACGCGGGTGGGCCTGACGACGGACTCGTTCTCCCTTGACCGAGAATCGACCTGAACTGAGCCACCAAGGTGGCTCTCGACAAAGAGACGAAAGACACTTACACGGTGACTGTGACGGCGACGGACCGTCCGGCTGTCGGCGACATCACTGTGACTCATCACTGTGACCAACGTAGAAGAAGACCCGGAGATTCATGCTCGGAGGCCGGGAATATCTGGGATGCGTTCAGTCCTCGTACGCGAGCAAAGAACGCAATGATGACAGTGCTACCTACCAGCGGCAGGGCCCTGAAAGCGCTTCGGCCACCTGCGTCACTATCGGGTGACGATGCGGGCGACTTAAACATCAACAGCCAAGCGGGGGTACTCACCTTTAGGAGCTCCCCCCGACTACGAGGATCCGGCAGACGCGAACACGACAACGCTATAATGGTGACTGTTGAGGCCCGACGACGGCCGTACATGACAGCCTTGAGCGTGGGCTGCTGACGGTCCACCGACATGGACGAGATGGCCCCTGAAGGACTCTCTGCCTTGAACAGGTACGATACCAATGGCCAACGCCGATGTCGACAAGGAGAAAGTCTGACGGCCATCAGCGACTACTTCAATCAAGTAGGGGGACTTACGAAACCCGATTCGGGAAATCATAAGACTCTACTTCAACCGATAACAAACAGGATCACAAAGAGAAGGCAGCTGCCTTTGCTTCAACAGGGACCCGAAGCAAAAGGCAGCAAGCGGATGCCTTACTAAGCCAAATTAAACGGAGAGAAGCATTGTATAGAAAATAATTGTTGGCGGCGTTGATGCTTAGTGTAAGGGGCGGCTTATGGGTGATGTCGGGTTCGGCTCCTTTGGCCGCTCAGACGGCGACAGCCAGTGACGATCGATCCTTTAGTTCGGCGACAGTGAGCGGGCGCGACAGGTGACGGTGACGATTGAGGCGACCGGCTATGGCGCGACAGGCTAAGTCGAGAGAGAAACGCTGCCCGCCGGAGTTCACATAAGAATCCAGTACCGCGTGCCTGATTTGGTCAAGCCACTGAGTCAGGACAGCTCCAGTTCATCTGCTCGGAGGGCGATCCAGTCGTTCGACTACGTGGTCACGGCTTCCAGCCACGGCAGGTCCCTTTCCTTCGTAGCACGCTGGCGGATGTTGGACCTTGACGAGACAGGAGTGCGGTCGCGGTGTTTGAGGAGTCGACTGTGTAACGGTCTAGGGTCGACGCCGCGACGCCGGAGGCCAACTCGGAGGCAAATCCGGAGGCAACTCCGAAGCATGCCTCCTTTGCCGATACCGGACCTTGATAACCTTACTGATGCACAGGCAGAGGATATCTTCTCCGCGACGGACGGCAACAGTGTGGCATACACGGCCGAGGCGGGGGGGATGCGTTGTTGCTAGAGTAAGCCCAGGTGCAGAGGCGCTAGTCAATATCGACCTTGGCATCGACGGTACCCGGATGGTCAGCAGATTAACTTCAGTCTGACGGACGGCGACAATCTTGATTTCCAGATCAAAAAGACTGGTGATACGGCAATGATTGTCGCGAAAGAGGGCGTCGAGCTGACCTCAGGACGGTACAATTTCGAACTCGTTGTTAATGAGTTCGATAACGCTCCTGCGAATACCTCGGACATTGACGTTCAGGTTCACGTCGTAATTGACAACGCGCCGCCGAGTTACAACTCGCCGGCAAGCGGAACGGTTGCTGAGCGCGCGAGGGACGCTGTGATCGCGACCTTCAGCGCGAGCGACGTAAACAACCAGGTGCTCAGCTATAGTATCGCGGCCAAGGTCGACGAGGAAGGGGCGCAGGACGCGGGCGCGCTGCCCGAATTCTGCCAGCCATGGATGACTACGGCGTTCGAGGGCACCGGTGTGCTTGAAGACCAGGACCAAAGAAGATAATCCGCCAGCAGACCAGCCGGACTATGATGAGCCTTCGGTGGACGACCCGGACACGCTTGACGTTGACGAGTCCGAACGTGAGACTAACAATGAGCATGTGTTTGTAGTAACCGTGACCGACGGGACGAGTGAGAATGAGATTGAGCTAGAGTTCACCTTGACGGTGACTGATGTTCCCGACCCCGCACCGGGGCTCGGATCAGAAGCTCGATGTCGATGAGGGTGTTGGAGCCGCAGACGTGCGGAACTGAAGTCGGCCTGCACCGTTGGGTGTTGTGGAGACGCGTCAATACGGCAATGTACAGCAAATTGACAATCTGGGTAATATTACCCTCGACCAAGATGACATACTCTTTGGTATAGATACGACAACTGAGATTGCGTGATTGTCCTCAAAGAAGGCAAGGAAGTCGATTTTGAGGAGTGGAAATAAATATATACAATTTGTCGTGATAAGGTGGTCATCCGGATGTCGTCATAGTGGTTAACGACATCAACGAAGGACCGAAGTTCTATGACGTTGACAAGGGGAAGCAGGTTGTTGACGGCGACGCTATCAAGCTATATGTGCTTGAGTCTGCAAATGAGACGAGGTTGTCAATGTTGGACAGGACGCTGGCGGCAATCGTCCACAATCGAAGCCCAGTCGTTGCAACCGACGAAGACAGTGCAGGAGACGGGCAACGACATAAAGTATGACTATGATCGCAGACGGCGACACGAGACACCCTGGGCTTTACGCGGGTGATGAAGCGATAGTCAAAGTAGACGATTACGGGTATATACAGGGTCAACATGGAACTTGACACTGACAAGACGATTCGATTAATCAGATACCTTGGTCTTCGTGCGGTCGATGAGGATCAACAGGGAGATCCTCCTGATTTGGAATCTGACACTGATAGACGCTGATGATCGAGGTCAATATCATTGACACCAACGTCGCGCCTGAGTTTGACGGTGCTTCCTTTTGAAGACGCACGGCAGGGTTTCTGAGGGCTGGCTGTTGGCACAACGTTGTCGATAGTTGACTCTAATGGAAATGCCACGGGCGAAGCTCTCTACAGGGCGGAAGACGAGGACGGCGACCTGTTAATTACCGGTGCGCGACCAGGACGACGCTCCGTTCTTCAGCATCGCAGGAGATGAATTCCGACGTTGAGCCTATCGCTGTATTGCAGACGGAGCCGATTGGACTTCGAGAAACAGACTCAACATACGGTTGAGATTCAGGCTTACGACACCGACGGTGACACCGACGAGATCGTGATACGATTGAAGTTACGAACGCTAACGACAACTCGCCTGCGTTCAATGTGGCGCCATCCGCAGCCTTGACGGTGGCGGAGAACACACCACGCGGCGTGACGCTCGGAAGCTACGCTGCGACGGACGCGGACGGTGACACTGTTACTTACAGCCTGAGTGGCACGAACGCAAAGTCGTTCCATATTGACGGCTACGGCAACCTTAAGACACTTGAATCTCTGGACTACGACAGCAACACGCCTTGCTCGGTGGGTGGCTGCTCGGTGACGGTGGTCGCTTCGGACGCTAACGCGGCCAGCGGCGAGCCGGCGAATGGGCACAATGGCCCGACTGAAGCGGCCGTGATTATTACGGTGTCGCCGTCGAGGACTCGGTCAGCACGCTTAGCGTTACTAAGGCGAACCCGGTTCCTGGGCACGACCATGGGCGATGCTATGACTGCCCTGGGCAATACTAAGGAGTCCATAAGCGCCGATGTTCCTGAGCGGCCGGCGGACCTGCCGAACGCTATGGGGCGCCGCTGAACTTCGTCGAAACCGATTGGGCGAACTGGGGTACGGTGCTTCGCATCCAGGTTACCGCACAATCCCCGGACGCGAATTGCGGCAGCGGCAACGAGTGCGTGATCATTAGTTTGAACAGTGACTCGGCTGACGATACGCTTAAACTGCAGGCATACAGGATGGATACGCCGGCGGGCGCGGCATCGAACGAGAACAAGTTCGTTGCGGCGGTGATGCTGGTTGAACTCGACGGAGAGGCGACCGACGTCAAAGACTCTGGGAACAACGACATTCCTGTTTACAAGCACACGGACGGCAGCGTGCCGCGCCTGCAGGTAGACGAGGAAGACGAGATAGAAATTGAATTCTACAACCTGCGCGGGGACGTCGAGGTCGAGAACGAGGCGCCGGAGATCAGCAACTTTGCTCCGGAGCACGAGTCCGCATTCGACGATTCCGACGTGGAATACACCTTCACGGTAACGGACACCCATTCGGGTTTGCCCGAGCCTGAGGACCTGCCGGACGCGGACGGCGATGACGCCTACATGCCTGCTGTTGCTCTTATCAGCAAGGGACAGTGCGAAACGGCTGATAACGATTACAGTGTGGCAAGCAAGGCCCGTAGAGCTAAGCTTATTAGCGATGGCTTCGAGCTTGTCGGAGATATGGCGAATATAAGTGATGACGAGTCGCTGTACTGCCCGGGTGACGCGCAGGACGGTGAGTACGATGCCAGTGGCGCCGGGCTATGGCTTCGCCCCGATTCGGGACGACAAGGACTTTGACGAGATAGACGACGGCTTCGATGTGGAGACCACGATCGTGCTGCGCGAGAACAGGATATTCTATGTAACGTTCATCGCGTGCGACAACGCCGGTAACTGCTCATTCTTCGACCCGGACGGGAACGATGACGCTGAGGAGCTGGCAGAGATCACGGTTGACACAGAGGACCCGGTATTCGTTGAGGCTCGCACGGGCCTGACGTGGGACTCCACGGACAACGAGTACGACGACAACAGGTCGTTCATACAGGTAATCTTCAACGATCTGACGAAGCTGAACACGGAGACGGTGGAAATTGACGACTTCGTGGTCGAGGGTCACTCCATCAAGGACGTCCATGTATTCGAGAACCCTGACAGCGACGATGTGGACTGGGGCGACAGCGGACGCTACGGCGCCACAGGCCACCCGAACAAGCGCGGAGTCGACAGGTACAGGGACATAGAGAACGTGGTGTTCATCGAACTTGAAGACGATCTGCTAGCGGACGAGACGCCAGACGTGACGATAGTCCCGAACGGTGTTGAGGACAAGGCGGGCAACGAGCAGGACGACGGCGACCATGAGGCAGATGACTGGATTTCGCCGAAGTTCACGATAGTCTCGATAGTGTCCACACGGGAGACCACCCAGGAAGAGGTGCTTGCTGGTGATGACGACGAAGTTACGGTAGTAGTTACCACTGACGAGCGTCTGGACAGCACTCGCCCGACCGTTACGGTCACCTATGTGAATGCGCCTGCGGGCAGCGTTGACACCAAGGGAATCGCGACGTGCGACAACAGCGAGGGCGCTGACAAGGGCACGCGTGACCGCGGCGAGATTGTCCATAGCATGACGACTGCGCCGACAGCGGTGCCGCGACCGGTGGCAATCTTAACAACAGCGTAGAGAAGGTAACTAACACCGAGTGGATCGTTACAATAACTGAGCCAAAGGCAACGGGTTACTACAACTTCCGTATTAGTGGCAATGACCGCTCGCCGCAGGAGAACCCTGGCAGTGAGGGTGTGAGCCCTAGTGCGATAGTGACAGATTTCTTCGATGCTGATGGCGATGTGAATGTTGACGATGCGATATTCTTCGAGGGTGACATCAATCTACCCAAGCCTCAGGTGCGGGTGAGCGGTGTTAGCGTCCAGGACAATGAAGCGGATGTAGAATTCAGGTCTCCGCTCTTCGTGGAGCTTGACTTCGCCGCGAATCACGCGACCTGCGGCGCGAACGCGGATACCGACGAGCGTATGGCGAACTGCACGAATGAGAACAGCGAATACGCCGAGGACAACTTCGACGACATAGTAGTTACTAGCTTCGTGCTGGACGGCGTCGATCTAACTGACAGCGTTAAGACAACGGACAACCAGTCGTTCCTGGTGTCGCTCGAGAGCATTAGCATCGGCGACCACACGGCTGAGGTGCAGGCAGTTGACCAGGCTGGGAACGTCTTCGAGGACACTCTTGAAATTGACTTCGAGGTCAATGACAGAGATCCGTTCGAGAAGCGCCTTAGCCCGGGCTGGAACCTGGTTAGCCTACCTGGCGAGCCGGCAGACAGCAGCATAGCGGCGGTCTTCGGACCTGGTGTTGAAGTACGGACTGTTTACAGCTACGATCCGGTTATACCGGGTGGTTGGATGGTTGCAGTACGTGAGACGCTTGACAGCGACTGGCAGGGCGACCTGACGGAAATCACTGGGCAGCGCGGTTACTGGGTACTGAGCGATGCGATTCAGGATTGGGAAGTTAGTATCCCGAGACTGGCTGGCGGAGCTTCTGGCACCGGAACGCCGATACAGCCGCCTGTGATCCCGATGTACGCCGGCTGGAACCTGATTCCGGTAACGGATGTGAGCGGCAACGCACTTAGCGCTGGTATCGAGATAAGCGCGAAGTGTACCTGAACAGCCTTGATGACGGTCTTGACCTCGCGAGAGTGCTTGGTTACGACACGATCAGGAACGAATGGTTCACGGTGCTGGATATGCAGATGGGTTCACCGGGTGACCTGAGCATCGGCTCTGGTTACTGGGTGTTCGTGAGAGAAGCAGCAGCCCTGGTGCCTGGCGGAGTAGCCGGCGCCGGTGGTAGCGCGACTAGATTGCGAGAATGGCTTTCCCCGGTCAGCAATGGCCGGGGAGGTCAATCCAAACCCTGAAGCAAGCGTAAGAAATAGATAGTTAGAAATTAGCGGCCCCTCTTCCGGGTGACTGGAGGAGGGGTTTCTTTTTGGCCCATATACTGCGGAACTGCCCTCATCTAAATGCGTTATAATTCCACTTATCACGCATTTAGATGAGGCGCACCATGACACTCCAGACACAGCAACCAACGCCGGAACATTCTCCGGCCGTTCTCACTGATGAACAGCGCCGGCGAGTGGCAGACGCCCTCGAGAGCGCTCAGTCCGAGAACACCCGCCGGAACTATGCCGGCCAGTACCGCAAGTTCCGTGCCTGGTGTGAACGTGAAGAGCAGTCAGCGCTGCCGGCTCAGCCGGAGGTAGTTGCTGCCTATGCCGCGGAACTTGCTGTTGAGGGCAAGAGCATGTCTACCATCCGGCTTGCGGTCGCGGCCATCGTGGATGCCCACAGACGCGTGGCCTGGAAGCTCCACAGACTACCGGTGTCAGCGAGACCCTGAGAGGACTGTCCCGGCAGTTAGGCGTAAGCCAGAAGCAGGCGAGACCTCTGGACGCCGATGCGCTGGCCGCAATCAGGGCAACTGCGCTTACACCGCGAACAACGCGTGGGGGCTCGCTTGAGATGGAGGATACCGCTCTGAGACGCGGCTGGCTGGACATCGCCCTCGCATCCGTACTGTCTGACGCGGGCCTGCGTATCTCAGAGGCCGCTATTCTCAAGTGGCGCGACGTGCTCGATGCCGAGAATGGTGCCGGACTGGTGTACATCGAGCGGTCAAAGACCGACCAGGCAGGCGAGGGTGCCTATGTGGTGATAACGCTGGAGACGCTGGTGGCCTTGAAGCTGCTGCGGCAGGACTCCGAGGCCTGGGCCGATGATAGCTTGGTATTCGGGCTCTCGATGTCCCAGATAAGCCGGCGCGTTGACAGCATGGCGAGAGCCGCGGGCTTGGGTGAGGGATACTCGGGTCACTCTGGGCGCGTGGGCCTGGCGATCAGGATGACCCGCAGAGGAGCTCCGCTGCAGGCGGTGCAGACCCATGGGCGCTGGAAGTCGCCGTCGATGCCCGCGAGGTACACCAGAAGTGAAAAGGCGCTGGAGGCGCTGGAGTGGCTAGTCTAAAAGATCTTCTCAGTCTGTACTAGGTTGGGTATCGCCGGACCGATGCTCCCATTGACATGCCGGGGAAGCAATCTGTGGCAGACTGAGAAGAATATCGGCGAAGAAGCCGCCGTCAATGCCCGCGAGGTATACCAGAAGCGAAAAGGCGCTCGAGGAGCTCTGGTGGGAGTTGTCGTCATGCGGACCTGTTTCTTTCCTGCAGCCTGATCATCCAGGACGTAGTCGCAGTCATTCTGGCAGTCCGAGCACAGTGTCAGATCCCAGCATTAACCTATGGTGCGCGCATTATGGCAGGCCTCAAACCAGTTGCGTTGAGCGTTTAGTAAACGAGTACGTATAACGATTACTTGCTTAGTTTCCTTTCCTTGCACATACATGCAATTACTGGTAAGTTAGCAATTGTTATGAATATACTGCCCGCCTATCGAGCTATTGAGCAAACTATGGAAAGACTGGAAGAAATACTGGAAAGCCCGGCGCTTGACGTGACTGACCAGCACCTTCCAGGGCCTGTTCATTGCGATGCATTCGTCTCGGTGAGACGATACACCTTCGCGATTGAGTGGAAAAGGTCTGGAACCATGGGGCAAGTAGCTCTAGCAGCAAGTAGATTGAGACAGGAGATTAAGGGATCCAGTCCTCGTTTGATTCCGCTATTGTCAGTTCCCTACATGGGTATGCGAGGAAGAGCATACTGTGAGGACTTAGGCGTGTCTTGGCTTGACCTCTCAGGAAATTCCAAAATAACGGCAAGGAACCTATATGTCAGGGAAACAGGGAACAAAAACCGCTTTCGCAGGAGAGGTCCACCAGAGAGTGCGTTCGGACCGAAAGGCTCCCGTATAACTCGGTGGATGTTAGTCCACCCAAATGAGCTATTCCGCCAGCGAGAATTGGCGGAAGCCGTAGGGTTGGACGAAGGGTATACCAGTAGGATAATCAGAAAGCTCCTGGATAGTCAGCTTGTTGTTCGACGTCACCAAGGGATTGAGGTGATTGACCCAGATTTGTTGCTCGATGCCTGGAACGAGGCGTACCGCTTTGCCAAGCATGCGCTCATTCCAGGTCATATCCCAGCGATGTCGGGCAGCGCTCTTGTGCACGAGATAGCCGATACCCTTGCTGAGCATGATATTCAATACGCCGTGACGGGCTTGCCCGCCGCTTGGCTCTATACCCGATATGCAGCCTTTAGGCTTGTCACTGTATATCTCAACAAAGTCCCCTCGGTACAGCTGAAACGACTACTTGGATTTAGGGAAGAACGTAGGGGAGCTAACACTTGGCTCGTCGTACCTAATGACGAAGGAGTGTTCCACGGAGAGATGGACCAGGATGGAGTGCGCTGCGTCCATCCAGTGCAGGCTTACCTCGACCTGCAAGAACATCCTGAGAGGGCCACTGAAGCGGCTGACGAGCTCAAATACAGACTACTCGATTGGGGGTCTAATGATGGATAAATCCTCCCATTACCTCGGATACAGCGAAGACGACCTCATCGCCGTCAAAAGATGTTGCCTGTACGTAGCGACAAAAATTGGGGACTTGTTAGATGACGTTGTAATAGTCGGCGGTCTGGTCCCTCCGCTACTGATTCAGCGAGACAGCCAACCGGATGGACCGGAGTTGCTACCGCCGCTCACAACACCAGTAGGCACCAAGGATCTGGACCTGGCACTTGCCGTATCACTCCTTGAGACTAAAAGATACACGGAATTAAGCGATCGACTACGGAATGCGGGTTTCAGTAATGATGTAAATACCAGTGGCAATGCAACGCTCGAGAGGTGGAGACTGAAGGAGCCTCACTTTGTCACGGTTGACTTCCTAATCCAGCCTAGCAGGGAAGAAGACCGTGGTGGAGGTTCGCGCCACCTCGAGGGCGACTTCTCCGCTTTCATAACTCCCGGTCTTCATCTCGCGTTTTGTGACCGGAAGAAGATCGAAATGCGGGGCCATACGATATTTGACGAACGGGCGGAAAGGGAAGTCTGGGTCTGTGGTGCGGGCGCATTCATCGTCCTGAAGGCTTTGGCTACAAGAGGTCGTGGAGAGAATAAGGATTGTTATGACCTTGCTCACATGCTGAACTACGTAATGTTTTGATGAGTCCTCACACGACGACCTTCTCTCGTTCTTATATGACAATAGGAATGATTCGCATGTTCAGAAGGCTCTCTCGATCATCAAACAGGATTTCACTCAACAAGACGAGGTCGGCCCGATGAGGGCAGCGAGATTCTTGAGAGGCGGGCCCGATGACGAAATACAGGCAGACGTTGTTGGCCTTACGGCACGGTTGTTGGATGAGGTAGGAAACCTCATCAGCTGACTTGCGCTTGCTGAGAAGGTCTAGTGCATGCAAATTCCGAACGCGCTCTATAGAAGTCAAGCCGCTCTGCCGACTACCACGGCCGGTTTCTGGATGACCGTGAAGACTTCACAATCGACAATGCGCCGGCAGTTCTGACGGACGAACAGCGCCGGCGAGTGGCTGACGCACTCGAGAGCTCGCAGTCGGAGAACACTTGCAAGAACTACGCCAGCCAGCTGCGACAATTCCAGTCCTGGTGCCAGCAGGAGAACTACTCTCCGCTGCCGGCACAGCCTGAAGTGTTGGCGGCCTATGCCGCGGAGCTTGGCGACGATGGCAAGAGCATGTCCACGATCCGGCTTGCGGTCGCGGCCATCGTGGACGCACACAGGAGCGTGGGCCTGGATCTCCACAGACTACCGGTGTCACTGAAACCCTGCGGGGTCTGTCAAGACAAGTAGCTGTTAGCCAGAAGCAGGCGAGACCGCTGGACGCTGATGCGCTGGCCGCAATCAGGGCCACCGCGCTCAATCCGAGAAGGTCGCGGGGCGGCTCGCTTGAGTCGGAAGAGACCGCTCTCAGACGCGGCCGGCTGGACATCGCCCTGGCATCCGTTCTGTCTGACGCGGGCCTGCGCATCTCGGAGGCCGCTAGTCTCAGGTGGCGCGACGTGCTCGATGCCGAGGATGGCGCAGGACTGGTGTACATCGAGCGCTCGAAGACCGACCAGGCAGGCGAGGGAGCATACGTCGTGGTCACGCCTGACACACTGGCGGCCCTGAAGCAGTTGCGAGAGGACTCCGGGTCCTGGGCCGACGATGACTCTGTATTCGGGCTCTCGATGTCTCAGATAAGTCGCCGCGTGGACAGTATGGCGAGAGCCGCTGGGTTGGGTGAGGGGTACTCCGGTCACTCGGGCGCGTGGGACTGGCGATCAGGATGACCCGTCGGGGCGCTCCGCTGCAGGCGGTGCAGACACACGGGCGCTGGAAGTCGCCGTCGATGCCCGCGAGGTACACCAGGGGCGAGAAGGCGCTGGAGGCGCTGGAGTGGCTAGTCTAAATGGTTAGCTGGAAGAAGATCTGGTCGAATAATCCACAGGAGAGGTTGAACAAGGAGATAAGACGGCGCGCGGATGTGGTGGGAATCTTCCCGAACCGACCAGCGACGCTACGGCTGGTTGGCGCAGTGCTTGCCGAGCAGAACGACGAGTGGATAGTTGGCCGCCGGTACCTGACGCCGGCTTCAGCGACTTACAACGAAGCGCTGCCGGAGTTGCAACTCACGCAGCCAACTGCGGCTTGGTAGAACAAATAGGTTGACA